AAATTGCCCTGGAGCTGGTAACTACCACATGGCCATGTCTTCTCCATGAGGCCCATGGAAGCAAGTTCATAGTCATCTCTGGGTCAAGAATGGTTGTGCTGCTTTCTCCTAAACAGCTGGGTTGCCAACTCTTAGTGCCAGGAAGCTTAGAGGCAAATTAAACCCTTGCTAAATTACCTTGGGGAAGTCACTTCCTCTCGGAACCTCAGTTTCTTGGGCCATTGGCTGCAGGAACTTCTTCCTACTCTCATTTTGCGTACTGATCTCCATCTTCACTTAGCTTTGTCCCATCTTTCTTGCCTATTGAAACATGTTTTTTCCGTTCTGTTTAAACTCACTGTAAATAACCAGTGTCTTTCCCTTGAAAATGGGTAATAACAATCACCTTACGTGGTTGTTGCAAGGATTCTAAGAATGGGTTCTCCCATCAAATATGTATTGATGAATGTTATGAGCCAAGCATCCGAGTGTTAAGAGATCAACACTGCCCTGACCTTGGAGAGGTCCTAGTCTGGAGGAGGAGGCAGACTCATAAATAAGTACAGTAGACGCACTAAGTGAGGGGGCAAGGGCTGCATAAGGTGTAACATGAGCAATAACTGCATAGGTTGGGGGCATTCTGGGAGGGCTTCTAAGAGAGGAATAAACTCTTGTTTTCCTCTACACTCTGCTCACTTGACTTCTGACACCAAATGTGTGAGATTGTTCCCCACACTGACCAATTCTCCAACACCAGCTGGGTGTCCTACAATTCCAACACTATCTACCTGGAGTTAGTTACCTGGACCCCACAGGTTAAGGTCTTCGTCCCGCAAGACTGCTCACACTTCAGATGCCATTTGCAAGTCCAGGTTGTCATCCGTGCTTCTGACCAACTGGCTATAAATCAGGTTCCCACCAGCCCCTTCTCAGGTTTGATAATATGCTAGAATAGATCACAGAACTCAGGAAAACAGTTTACTTACTAGATTACCAGTTCATTATAAAGAATACAGATCAAGAATAACTAGATCGAAGAGCTGCATAGAGCAAGAGATTCCGGAAGGGGCACAGGGGTGACAGTGCACTCTCAAAGCACACCACTTCCCCAGCACCTAGATGTGTTTCACTAGCCTGCAACTTCTTCAGACCCCTTCAGCTAAGGTTTTTATGGAGGCTTCATTAGGTGGCTGTGATTGATTGATGAATTCATTGACCATTGGTTATTGAACTCAATCTCTAGCCCCTCCCCTTCAAGGGGGGTGGGGCTGAAAGTCCCACCCTCTAATCACATGCTTGGTTCCACTAGCAACTAGACTCCATCCCTATAGGGGCTTTCCAAAAGTCACCTCATGAATATGAACTCAGCTGTGGTTCGAAGTGGCTTGTTATGAATAAAAAAAGACAATCCTTTCATTTCTATCACTCTGTCACTTGGAATATTCCAAGGGTTTTAAGAGCTCTTTACCAGGAATGAGAGGAAGACCAAATGTGTTTCTTATTGTAAATCACACTATCACAGCTTCACAGAGGAGGTGACATCTGAGCTGGGTGTTGATGGGTGGGAGAGGTGTGCTGGGCAGAGGGAATAGTGTGCAAGGCATGAGGCTCCCAGACCTGAGGAAGAGGAAGCCTGGCTGGGACTTAGAGGGGCATTAAGAGCCAGGGAGTGACAGGCAGGGCCAGGCTGTCCTCCTGGGTCTGTGAAGCCCAGTGCAGTTCCAGCACGTTGGTCAGCAGATGTTTGTTAAATGAATGCGTGAATGAAGCTAGAAAAACAAGCAGGAGCCAGTTCAGGAAGGGCCTGGAAATTCTGGGGCGTTTTTACGCAGAGATCTGTCTCAAGGGTAAGGGGTTGTGGCTGAGAATGGGAGCCCCCCAAGCCAAGTCGTGATTCATAGTAGAAGCTGATTTTTCCCAGCCTTGCATTTCTTCCTCTTAACACAGAGCCCAGTGCTCCACTCCAGGCAGGCCCACTCCATGTCTGGCCCAAAGAAGAAGGGGAAGGTGGAAGGCGAAAGACTGGGGAGGGCTTTGAAAGCCCAGCCAAGGAGCTTGGACTTTATTCTAATGGCAATGGAGAGCCATGGCAGGTTCTAGAGCCAAAGAGAACCTGACAGAATTGGGGTTTGTGGCAGACCATCATAGACACCCCTACCTCCTCAATGATGGGCTCCCTAGGCCCACAGGTAGGACACAGATGTCCTGAAAGCCAGAGCAGAGTCTGGTTGGGAAGTGGCAGAGAGCAAATGCTCTGTTGGCCCTGCCTGGAGTGAAGCCAGCTCCACCCCTCACTGGCTGTGCAGCCCTTAACCTCTCTGAGCCTAGAAGCCCTGGGGCGTGAGGATGAGACTACTTAATGTCCCTAAATCATTCAGCTGGGGCCTGGCACAAACTACTGCCTCAGTTTCCTCATTTCTGTAATGGGGACAGTGGTGCATGCTTCTGGGACTGTGGTGTACATTGGCGTTGACCTGCGTGCCCCAGATAAGCTACCACTGGAGTGGGGGCAGGCAGGCCGAGGGACCAGGTTCTGCCCAGCCAGGAAGGAGGGGCACAGGGTACCAGTCCTAGTCCTGTCCCTAGGGCCCTGCAGATGCTCCCGGCCGGCCACTGATGCTACTAAGGCCCACTGTGATCTAGCCTTAGCTTGCTTCCTGGCAGACCCCTTTTCCTGCCCCTGCCTACCCCATCTCTGGGCTCCAGGGCACTTGGCTGCCTCCCAGGCTTTGCCCCTACTGGTTCCTTGGCCAGCACTGTCCTCTGAAAGGCCAGAATGTGTGTGTGTGTGATGGGGGAGGCATGGTGGGCGCGGGCAGGAAAGATGAGGGGAGATTTCAGTCCTTGTTCCAGGGCCACTGAGGGGTCCCTACTTTAAGATGGTCTAACCTGTACCCTCCCCCTGCCACCAGGTAACCCCCCGCGTCCGAGCCCGGAGCCAGAGGAGCCACGGCGGCCGGCTGTGGCAGAACGCAGTAGCGGTTCCGGGACGCCCAAGCTGATCCAGCGCGCGCTGTTGCGTGGCACCGCCCTGCTCGCCTCGCTGGGCCTCGGCCGCGACCTGCAGCCGCCCGGGGGCCCGGGCCGCGAGCGTGGGGAGCCCTCACCAGTGGCCCCCACGCCGCAGCTCACTCCGTCCCCCACCGAGCCGCCCTCCTCCCCGCTCATTCGCATCTCCCTCAAGACACCTTCTGCCCCCACCTCCCGGTTGAGCCCCGATGCCCCCGGCCCTCCCACCCCCACACCCTTGCTACTGGAGCTGGGTGTCCCCACAGGCCAACCGTCAGCCAAGAGCCCCCGGCGCGAGGAAGAGAGGCACGGTGAGTGGCCCGCTGCAGGCCTGTCGCTGATGGAGAGGAGAGGAGGGGCTGGTGGGAACATGCATGGCAGCAAGGCCCGGTCCACAGTAGTCTGCTGGACCCCTAACACGGATGCTGGGTATGCATGTAGGGAGCTGAGTTCTAAGTTCAGCCACCCAGTGGTCAGGGGTGGGGTGGGGCTGGGCCAGGCTGGTGGTGAGATAATAGAAGCAATGATAATCATGACAATGATGATAGCAGACTTCTCCTGGTTGCTTACTTATGCCAGGTTCCTGGTGCTTTAGAAGATTGTCTCATTTAATTATAAGCAGTCTGTGAACTAGCTGCTCTTGTTAGACCCACTTTTTCAATGAGGAAATTTAAGACACAGAGAGAGCTAGGGACTTGCGGCTCCCACTAGTAAAGGGCAGAGATGGGATGCAAGCCCAGACCTGTCTGCTCCAGAGGCTCTTAACCACCACATAGTAAACAGATGCACCATGGAGCATAAGGGGCTGTGGAAGTTAGGAGTCAAGTAGCTCACTGTGTAGATGGGGAAACTGAGGCCCAGAGCAGGGCAGTGCCTCCCGGGGACACCCAGGAATAGGTAGCTGCCTGACCATGTGCCCCTCCTTCACCCTTCATAGGAAGCACTGTTTCACCCCCACCAGGAATATCCCGTTCTGCCCCTGGCACTCCGGGCACCCCACGCTCACCACCCCTGGGCCTCATCAGCCGACCTCGGCCTTCGCCCCTCCGCAGCCGAATCGACCCGTGGAGCTTCGTGTCAGCCGGGCCACGGCCTTCGCCCCTGCCCTCACCACAGCCTGCGCCCCGCCGGGCACCCTGGACCTTGTTCCCAGACTCGGACCCCTTCTGGGACTCTCCCCCTGCCAACCCCTTCCAGGGGGGCCCTCAGGACTGCAGGGTGCAGACCAAAGACACAAGTGCCCAGGCCCCGTGGATGCCAGAGGCAGGGCCTTGAGTGGGCCGAGCTGCTCCCCCACGCTCCAGCTGCCCTAGAGGGGCCACAGCGTACACTGGAACAGGAACTGGGCAAGCCTCTGTAGCTGCCTTGGTTTCCCCCAGGGACCCCGCCCCCTTTGGGGGTCAGGAACACTACACAGCACAGGAAGCCTTCACACTGGATGGGGGGGGAACCTGCACCCCCCACACACCTGCAACCTGTGGGTCCCCCAACTTACCTGCCCCACTGGGGCCTGACACTGTACCCAGCTGGTTGGGAGGACCATAGCCTGTCTCAGGGAATTGCCCCCAGGGGTAGTGCCGGGAGAAGGGGAGGTGCGAGGGAGAGGGGCCGGCCTCAGCTGTCACCAGCACTTTTGACCAAGTCCTGCTACTGTGGCCCCTGCCCCAGAGCTTAGTGCCTGGAACCCCGTGCCCTGGGGGTCATCTGGGGCCTGGGTTCTCTGGGTGCCTTCCTGCTGCCCCGGCCAGGGTTGGGGCCTCGGCCTCAGGATCCAATGAAGCCAAATAAACTCCTTAAGCTGTTTTCCCAAGCACAGCCTGTCACCCTTCTTTGGAGGTATCCAGGGATGCAACCCATCACATGAGCCGGTGACCTCATGCCCCCCACATAATGGGCAGTTGGCCTGGGCCTAGGCTGGTGCCTTGCACCACACCCCTCTCCTGGGATCAAGTCCTCCAGCCTCAGTCGAGCATTGAAGGCCCTTGTCAGCCTCCCCGGCACCCACATACACTGGCCTCACCTACCTCTCCACCCTGGCCAGGCCTTTCCCACCATTTCAAACAACTCTTCACCCTGATTCATCCTGCTGCCGGAATGTCCCTGCGTATCCTCAGGGCCGGCTGCGATGTTACCTCCCCTGGGACTCCTTTCCTGGCCATGCTGCTCCCAGCCGGGGCAGCCCGCTGAACTCAGGAACCCACAGCCCTCTGGGCAGCATCTTGGGGGTTTGTCTTGGGTGTGTCTCTCCCATGGTCTGGACACAGGAGAGGTGACCCACCCTGGCACCTGGCTCCACTCACAGCTCCCTTCCCTACATGGGATTCTATGGTTTGTGGGAATCCTAGTCCAGGCTCCCCTCCCCCGCCCCCTTCCGGGCATGCTCCGTGGCAGCCAGATTTACTGGGTCTCCAGTGTTCAGCAGTGTGGGACCCAGGAGGGCAGGGCACAAAGGGTTTTCAGGAAGGACTTGGAATGGAGACAACAGCATCATCTGTCCAGGGCGCTCTGTGCATCCTCAACTCCTTAATACACCCATCTCCACCAGACCCATCCCAAATCCCACATTCCTCTCCCACTGTGCCTTCCATCCAGGATGCCTACAGTAACCCTCTGATCCCCCGCCATAGGTCCTCTGGGGCACACATGTCCTCAAGGTCCTGCATCCTTAACCCCTTGCTCTCCCCCCACAGCCAGTCCCCTGTTCCTTTCACACCCAAGCTCTTTCTCACCCTGACGCCTCTTCTATCCCCCAGCTGAAATGTCACTCCTATAGAAGCCTTCCCAGTGAGAGTCCCCTTTCCCAGAACTCTCCCGTTAGCCAAAGGTTTCCTTCAGGGAGCAAATGACAAGGTGAACATGTCGTTTCCTTGCTAACAAGTTTCTTGCGTGAATGCCAGGAGGGAAGGGACCTGTGTCTGTCCTCAAGCCCCTGCTGAATGAATTATTGGCGTATGTGGCTGAGTGAGGGTGTCCTTGAAAAAACCACCAGTGTGATTTTGAGCCAGTCACTTACCTCTCTGAGCCTCACCTTCCTCCACCCAGCCCTCACCACCCCAGCTTCAGAAAACTGGGCAAATAATGGCCCCAGAAACTGGGAGGAGTGATCCAGCTCACCTTCAAGCCTAAACGGCCTCCTGTCCTCAAGTCCACACTCACCCTAGCTGTATCCCAGGCTTCCCTCGCTCGCTCTCAGCCACCTACACAGACAGCACCTCCTCCCAGCCCCACCCATTAGCCCCTCCCAGGTGCCTGCGGTGGAGCAGCCAGCTTCCAGAGCACCTCAGACTCCCTGGCGGCACACAATGGGCGGTCTAAGGCCCTGGGTGCGATATGGGTTACTGGTCTTGGCCCACCTGCTGGCCCTGGGGCTTGGGGCTGTGGTGTTCCAGGCCCTGGAGGGGCCTCCGGCACTCCAGCTCCAGGCCAAACTCAGGGCCCAGTTGGTCACTTTCCAGGCGGAGTACAGAGTCTGCCTGCCACCCGGGGCACTAGAGGAGCTGCTGAGCACCGCTCTGGTAGCGCAGGCCCATGGGATTTCCAGCCTGGGCAATGGTTCAGAGGCCAGGAACTGGGATCTGCCCTCGGCTCTGCTCTTCACTGCCAGCATCCTCACCACCACGGGTAAGGCCGCCAGGCGGCCGGGCAGGAGGGGGCTCCTGAGGCCATCGCTCCCTGGGGTCCTTGAGGGTGCAGCTCTTCTACCAGCCCCAAAGTGCCAGACAGAGCTCAGGCCCTAATAGGCCTGACATCACAGCTGGGGCTCTCCACACCAACACACCCCAACTGGTACCTCAACTTCAACTGCCAGGAGGGGTGTGACCTCCCCAGCTCCACCCCCAGGCACTCTTTGATACCCAGGAGAGGTGCCCAGACTCCACGGGCTTGAGATGAGGCAGGGAACAAATTGTGGGATGGCTTCTTGGATGGAGGGAAATGGAGTGAACCTGGGGAGCACAGATTAGGACCACAAACTCAAGAGGAAGCGAGAGAGAAGGCTGCTAGAGGAGGAAGTCTTGATGAGATGTTGCCAAGGCAAGAGAGCACAGAGATCAGGGATAAAGGAATTCGTGGCAGAGGGAACAGCATTGTGACAAGGCCCCCAAAAATAAAGCAATGGGACCTACAGCCCTGGGGGTTTTTTTTGTCTTGCAAAGTCTCTAAATATTTTTTTTAGATTAAAATGTTTTCCAACTTCTTTTGGAAAAATCCAAAAATCTATTTGCACTGAGCCCAAATCCTCGCAAGGCAACATACTGGCTGGAGTGGAACAGGGCCTGCCCTTTTGGGCAGAGCACATGTGCTCCAGTCAACCCTAGTCCCCGCCACTCCCTCTTGTCTCACATCTGGCTCCTCTAGGCATTTGCGTTTACCACCTCTGGACTAGCTGATCCTGTTCTCCCAGCACGCCCCACTCTTTCATCTCTGCCTGCCTTTGCACATGATTTTCTGGCTTTGAGTGCCCTCTCTGATGCATGCTATGCCTCTTTTGCAGCTCTTCATGTTGTGTCTTGACTGACTTTCCTGTTTCTCCCACTGTCAAATGGCAGGGCCTGAGCAGACTCGGATTCATTCCAGTGCAAGGCCCAGCACACAGGATAACTCGATACACCTTTGAGGAATGGAAGAGTGGGTGGTGTTCTGCTCAGGGGATGTGGGCAAAGCTGAGAAATCTCAGGAAGCCAGGCTCCCTCTGGGGCAGGACAGTTCTCAGAATTGTCTCAGTTGCAAGAGGCCTGAGGGAAGACTGTCTCTTTTAATTCTTTCATTTTCCAGAAAATAAGAATAGCCCAGCGGGGTTGAGGGACTTGTCCAAGACCCCCACTGAGGAGCAGTCACAGAACATGGACCTGAACAGTTCTGGCCATGTCGGCCACTAGAGGGCAGCCTTCTGCTGAAGCGATGTTGGGGGAAGTGGGGACAATATTAGACATTCCACTCAAGTGCTTATTGCCCACTGTCTCTCTTCTCCAGGTTATGGCCACATGGCCCCATTATCCGCAGGTGGGAAGGCCTTCTGCGTGGTCTATGCAGCGTTGGGGCTGCCAGCCTCCTTAGCACTTGTGGCCACACTGCGTCACTGCCTACTGCCTCTGCTCAGCTGTCCAGTTGCCTGGGTAGCTGTCCGCTGGCAGTTGGCACCATCCAGGGCTGCGCTGCTGCAGACAGCTGGACTGAGCCTACTAGTGGCTGGTACCTTCGTGCTGCTACCAGCAGTGGTTCTGTGGGGTCTGCAGGGCAACTGCAGCCTGCTGGAGGCCATCTACTTCTGCTTCGGCTCACTCAGCACCATCGGCCTGGGGGACTTGCTGCGCAGCCGTGACCTGCATCCAGCACTTTACCATCTTGGCCAGATCGCACTTCTCAGTGAGTCCAGCTCCAAGGAGCGCCAGGGGAAGCAGAGGAGGAAAGAGTAGCTTGGACTACAATTCCCATAAACCAGTGGGGGTGGGGGAGGCTGAGCCTCACAGATGGAAGGACCCTGCCCAAAGTGTGGTGTGGGATTTGTAGTTGGAATAACCCAGGTGGCAGTGTTAAGAGAATTGTGGCATCAGGTGCCAGGGCAAGTCACCAGGCTGGGAGGTGGGCAGGGAGCATCATCAGCACCCCAAGAGCTGCCCTAGCAACCTCTCCTCCTCAGGTTACTTGCTTCTGGGGCTCCTGGCCATGCTGCTGACTGTGGAGACATTCTCAGAGCTGCCACAGGTCCGTGCCATGGTGAAGTTCTTTGGGTCCAGTGGCCCTTTGACCACCGAGGACCAAGGTGGCATCCTAGGCCAGGACGAACTGGCTTTGAGCACCCTGCCCACCTCAACTGCAGCCCCAGAACAAGCCCCAGCTTGCTGACAGGTGATGGAGCTGAACTCCTTTCAGGTGGAGAAGCCTGAAGAGGAAGTCTCTAGAGATGGGAGGGGAGGGATGGAAGTGAGGACTTCAGGGAATAATGTGTTAATAAAAAATAAAACGGACAACAACCTCGACTGTGCTTTTGTCTCTTCTTTTGAAATTGTTCTTCCCTATAGTGGTCAACAACCCAAACCACCATCATCCTTCCACAACTGAGGTACCGCCTCCTCTGGCATCTGGGAACCTCAAAGCCGGCACAGCCCCATTTAGGATCGCAGACAACCTTATCGGCCTAAGTGCCAACCCCTTCCGTCTATTGAAAACTCAGCTGTCCTGAGAAAGGGTGGGCGCTGGTGTAGACTTGTCCAAATTTATTGCTCAACAAGGAAAAGGAAGCAGAGGAGGGCGGGGCGCGATAGTTCACAGCCATCATGCTCCCCGGAGGCTGGCCGCCCAGACCCTGCAGTTGGGGAGGAGGTCTGCGCGGGGCTCTGGGAACCCCCACCCCGTGAACACACGAACACACACACACACACACACGGACACGGACACTCGCAGTTGGGGAGGAGGTCTGCGCGGCGCTCTAGGAACCCCCAGCCCCACGAACACACACACACGGACACAGACACTCACACGTACAAATAAATACGGCCCGGCAGTGCCGAGGGGCAGCCCTACTTGTCCCAGTAAACGGGCTACGGCGGCCCCTACAGGCCGCGCAAGGGCGCGGTCGTCCAGCGAGCAGGCTTGGGGTGACGACACGGCGCGGAGACAGAAAAGCTGAGGACTCCATCACGGCGGTGCAACCTCAACTCAGTACGCAGCGTTCGCGCCGGCTCAGCTGCCGGCTCAACTTGCGGCGCCGCTGCTCCAGGCCACGCTCCAGGCGTTCGTCCTCTTCCATGGCGCTGGGAGGGAACCGGTGCAAGTCAGCCCCAGCGGCCAGCCAGGCCTAGCACTCCTCGAGAGTGCGCCCGATACCCTCCCTGGCTCCCAGCGCGGTCTCGGCCCCACTTACATCCGCTCCTTGTGGTCCAGATCCCGGACCAGCTCGTCGCGCTGGTTCACCAGCGACACGAGCTCCTCCAGCAGGAGCTGCTCTCGGTGCTGCTGCGCCGCCGTTTTCAACCAGTCTGAGGGCGGAGTAGGCGGAGGGTCAGGAGGGGCAGGCCCCTGCCCTTTCCTGGGCCCCAGCCCCTCCAGCCACATATCCCACCTGGCCCCATCTCAAACCTTCGATGGCTAGCATGGCCCGTAGCTCCCGGCTCAGCAGCTCGAATCTCCTCTCCAAGTCCTGCTCCTCGATGCTGGAGGTTTGGGGCGCCAGGTCAGGGAAGGGGGAACCGCCCCCATCCCACCTCACCACCAGTTCCCGCAGAGGGCTGGGCTGAAGGCAGAGCTATACCCTGGCGTCATCTCTTGTTCCAACTGTTCCCCAGTTGCTGGATGTTTATATTGTCGCCTCCCACAAACCCACCCTTTTTAATAAATAAGAACCCAGTGGGATTATTTGCATGAACATTACTCATAAACAGCAAGTATTAAACTAAATATTATTCTGATAAATGATTCAAAACGCAAAAGGGAGGCTAAATCACCTCCACCACTCAGGGCTGCAAAGGTGATGATGGCCAGGGTGGCTTTTGACCCCACTTGGGAAACCAGCTCAAACCTCTCTGGGCCTGGGTTTTCCTGACTAAAGGAGCAGGTCAAACTGTGGCTCAGCCCCAAGATGCCTGTACCACATTTTTCTCTCAGTAGTAAAAAGAGCACCAATTTAAGATGTACACACTTTATACACGAAATTAGAAAAAAAATTAAGATGGCTGAGCAATTTTTCAATAAGATCTTCGTAGAAAGAAGAAAGCAGTGACTAGCCCTAACCAAAGTAGTGGAGATTCCGTGCTCTGCAGTACCTGGGTGGGCAGGGGTGGGGCCTGGATGGTGAGGAGCCAGCACTTACAGCAGCTGCAGCTGGTCCTGTCTCCGGATGAGAGCGTTCTTCTTGTTGACCAGTGTGAACCATTCCTGGATCAGCACCTCCTCCTGCAGCCTGTTGGCACCTGAACCAGGCCAAGAGAATCACCAGGCCTGCCACTGACCCTGGTGTCAGGAGCGGGATGGCTGGGGGTTGAGGAGGGGGACCTGCGCCCTTGTGACATCCCAGGAACCAGAGCTGTGCCTCCAGCAAGCCACTTCCCGGCTCAAGAACTCAGCGTGCCCAGCTGTGAATGGGAATGCCCCCAGCCTTGCCTCCTCCCATGGTCAGGAAGGGGTGCAGGACTGAGCGGATCCGGTGGCATGTGCTGGGGAGTGGACTGCAGATGCCCATCCTACCTGACTCCATGAGGATCCTCAGCTGAGTCTCCACCTCGGCTGCCCGCCCATCTATCTGCCTCTGCTCCTGTTCTAGGGCCTGCAGCTCTGCGCAAACATACTGACTTGTGTCCTGGAACCGTTGCTGGGGTAAAAAGGGGGAGCTCAGCCCAGGTCCTACCTAGGAAGTGCCCAACCATTAGCTCCTCCCACCTCAGCCCACTTTACCAGTCCAGCCTCCTCCCCTGGGCTTGGGGGTGGCTCCTCCGATGGGGTACTCCCACCTGCAGACAGAGACCAGGCTAAGACACCTCCCAACTGACACCTGCCTCCAGGAGGTCCCCAGCTCAGGCTCTATGAGCAACCTGAGCTGAGCTGGGTCACCACCCCTTCAAAACTACTCACCAGGGGGCTGCTGCAGGGTTGTGGCTATGGGTGGGCTGGAGGCAGGGTTGGGATCAGGGCTCAGGCCTTCCTGTGGAGGAAGGAGACTGTGAGGGCTAGGAGGGGTTCCCCAATTCCACGGCCTGCCCACCTCAGCTGTATCTCCAGTCCTGCATGCACAGCACTCCACCCCCAACCCCTCTAGGGAAAGTGCCTCCTCAAGGGCAGGCCATGGCCTTCACCCTCTCTGACCCTGTGGTCCTCGGCCAGTCCATTCCCACTCCCTGAGCCTCGTCACCCTCGTTCCTGGGGTCTCATAGGGCTTTGGTGAGAGTTGGGGATGAAAGGCTATGAAGGGCCCAGCTGGGGCCTCCCCTTTCCCCTTCGGCCCCTGCCTCCATGGAGCTCTCTCAGGCTACCTCTGACTCCCATCACCTAGTGCTAGCATCTCCATCATGGCTAGGGGCCCACACAGTGACACCCAGCAGGCCTGATGTGGCAATCCTGAGCTAGCACCTCCATCTCCTGGCCAAAAGGGGGCACCCTCCCACCTTATCAGGTCCCATGCCTGGAGACTTCACTTCACATAACACTCAAAACAGGGCAGGTTGGCTGGGCCTACCAATTTTAGCCTGGAAAGACGGCTGACCCCTGATGCGCCCCAACCCTGGAGATTTGTTGGGACTGTCAGCCCTGGGAGCCCCCCACTTTCAGCTCAGCTGATAGCCTGTCTCCCTTGACTGCTCCTGCTCTGGCTACCTTTCTAGGTCACAGGGCAGGGAGAAGAGGCTGAGCCACTCCACTGTGCACCCCACCCTGCACCTGTCTGAGAGGCAGCCCTGGACACCCCTTGCTCAGGTGCCACCCTCTCTGGCCTGGGTCAGTGGTAGCCTCCTCACCAGCCACCACCCATGCCCTGCCTGCTGACTCTACCCTGAAGCCACAACTAAAGGGTCTTCCTAAAACCTCCACCACGCCTACCTCAGCCCCTAGCCTCATTGCCAAGGCCAAGCCTCAACTCCCACTACCCTGAACCCCACCCAGATGCCACCCTCCAACCAGTCATGGACTTTCACTTCCCCAAATAGCTTCCTCAGCCTGGAGTCTGCCGGACACCAACTTGACCTTCATGACCCAGCTCATCTCCACCTCCTCAGAGACCCTTTCGGGCTCCCATGATGCTTTCTGCCTCCCTCTCTGACGTTCATGTCTCCTGAAGTGCCCCCTGAGCCCCAGGCTGGGCAGATGCTCCCTCCATGGCCTCCTGGGCCTCCCCCATCACAGCTTCAACTCTCCACCCACCCTGTCATGGCTGTTGGTTACCCCTGTCTCCCTGACCAGGGGTAGTCCCTGCAGACAGGGTGGGGCCCAGAGAACGCATTCCGCGTACACCAATTAACAATAATAGCTGACATCGATTAAGCATTCATGTGCTGGGCACGTGCATATATTGGCTCATTTAGTTCTCCCAACAACCCTGGGAGGCAGAGAAGACTACCATCCCCACTTTACAGATGAGGAAACTGAGGGTTAGAGATGAGGCTCATACAGGGCCTGGCCTACAGCCCAGGGCTGTCTAATCCAAAGGCTTGTTCCCAAGCTTGGCCACCAATTTGCTGTTTGTCTCTGGGCTGGTCACACCCACTGGGCCTGTTCGTGTCCTTGAACACAAAACGGAGAGAAATCCCAGCCCTGTGTAACCTGGGGTTGTAGGTACTCCAGAAAGGCATCTGGGGAAAAACACAGCTCCCTTTTTAGAGGGCACCCCTAAGTGGTGCCTCAACGCCACTTTGTAAAGAACTTTCATACACTTATTTACCTCTCATCCTCAGGAAAAGAGCACAGAGGGGTTAAGTGTCTTTACCAAGATCACAGAGCTAGTCAATAGTGCTGGGCCTAGTAGAGGGTGCCATTTAAGAGTTCAGGCTCGGGGGCCGGCCGAGTGGCGCGATGGTTAAGAACTCGCTTGGGATGCCAGAGGGCCCGGTTCGGATCCCACATATGAGGGTCAGTGACACTGCCCTCCACAGCTAAGATGCTGAACAACAGCTCAACCTGGAGCTGGGCTGCCATGAGT